TATAGCTATATATAAGCAATTTATATTAGTATATACATATATAGTTTACAAGAAATTGCCTAGATAAAAAAAATAAAAAAAATAGCCCGGAACGAAAAAGCCCGTTAGGCCCGTGGGCCCGCCCCATTTAGCCCGGGACCACGTGGGCTTGGTACCGCCGTGGGCCGGTTCCACCCACTGGGACCGTGAAGCCCGGGACTGTTTGGCCCGGGACCGCCAAAGCCAGGCCCGCCTAAGCCCATGCCCGTTTGGCCCGGCTCGTTTAGGCCCGTTTGGCCCGGGCCCGAACCACAATACAACCTTACATTGATTCAACAAGTGCAAAATTTCCTTGATTTATACATGTGCATACATTTTACAATTTAACATAAATTTTAAGATATTTCTTCAAATTATGAGATGAAGATATTCTACTTATCTCATGAATTAAATTCTTGGAGGAAAAACGAATTTTCTTGATTCAGCTTACTATTTAAATATATGAGTTTATTCTTTAGTTTTTGGTTAATTAACTAATTGTTTATTTTTATTTTTATAATATGATCCGATAAGGAACAATATGTTTTCTTTTTGGTAATCTTTCATAACATAGACATGATTGAAATTTTGGCACGAAAGAAAATAATTGTAAAGAAAAAAATACAAAAAATACCCCTCATTCATACTACCCTCCCTGTACAAAAGAGTAAAGATAAAAGTTAATATAACGAAAAAGAAATGAGCAGAATTAATATGGAATATTCCTTTTTCTTTTTTCAATAATATGGAATATTCCCGGTAAAAAACAATATGGAATATTCAATATTCTGTCTAGTTAAGGCAGACAAAGTTAGCCACTGTCTTCCATTTGGAAACCCTACTACAAATATTGCTAGTAGATATCCTAAAACCCTACCGACGACAGTGACCATTTCCACGCAACAATGTCGGACATTCCACCGGAAGTAATTAACGATATACTTTACCGACTGCCGGTGAAGTCACTGCTAAGATTCAGGTGCGTAAGCAAGTCATTCAAAGCCCTAATTGATAGCCCCAAATTCATCCGAGCACACCTCAAGCAACAGGCACTGAAACACAACTCAGATGTCAAGCTTATTTTCAAGTCTCACAAGCTTTACTCCCTCGATTTCAGTTCGATCTCTAGTAGCCAACTAGAGGAACTTGACCATCCACTGAAGCATCCCTATGGCCCAACTCAGGTACTCGGCTCTTGCCATGGTTTGATTTTAATATCTAACAACTTGAGTGACAATGGTGTGTGGAATCCATCCACTAAAATGTTCCGGAAACTGCCGGTTTGTCACGTTAACCCTCCACAGAATCATGGACCGAGACAGGTTGCAGGGTTGAGCCAAATTTGTGGTGGTTTTGGGTATGATATTTCTGCTAATGATTATAAGGTCGTTAAAATAGCCCAATTTTGTCACTTCTCTGGTAGTTCCTTAGTTATTGTTACAATGGTTTTTAGTTTGAAGTTGGGTTTGTGGAAGAAGAAGGTTCAGGATTGTCCATACTGGTTAGTTAAGGAAGACAACGGCACGTTTGCTGCAGGTGCATTACACTGGCTTGCATCTACGGAATCATCATCAGAGTGGAGCCCTTGGGTTCTTATAGGTCTCAATCTTGGAAGTGAGAGATTTAAGCTGGTGCCATATCCTGAGAATTTGGGCAAGCCATTGCATTTAAATTTGGCAGTCTTGGGAGAATGCCTTTGTTTGATTTCAGGTCACGTCGTTGTTCGTACTAATGAAAAGAATCATGTGTTAGATCATGTAGACATATGGGTGATGAAGGATTACGGAGTGAAGGAGTCTTGGATAAAGTTGTTTTCAGTTGAGCAGTTAGATGGTCGTCAACATTTCAGTTTCTTGAGGCCAATAGCATATTCAGTGACTGGTAAGGAAGTTCTTCTGGAAATGGATAATAGGAAGTTCCTATGGTATAGTCTAGAAAAGAAGTCCCTCAAACATTCTAAGATTAATGGTGGATTGGACTTTTTTGAATCATTTGTCAATTTGGGAACCCTTGTCCCTTTATATGGGGGTGGAAATGATGGGGGTGAAAATGAAAAGGATGAGAAGGAAAAGATAGAACCAGAGAAAAAAGATGGAGCCGGAAACATTGAGGATGAAGATGTCTTGGTGATAGAGGAATTCAAGTTGGAACTTTAAAAGAGAAGTTTAAATTAGACTAAAGAGGTAAGTGAAATGCATGTTTATCTTATATTACCCCTTTATTGTTGCTTCCCCTTGACAATAGACACTTAGCATGCAATTTATTTGATCAAGCTCTATAGTGGCAATCAAATTTTCTACTAGCTGGATGTGGGGAACAAGAGTATATCTCTAAATCCCGATTCTCTTTTTCCTAGTGAGATAGGGGAAGACATTATAAAGTATTAAAGAATCTTGTTGATATGTTATAGGAGTAGCCGAATTTAATTCTCCGTTTCACTGTCTGGCTTCTAAAGGTTTGGAAGTTAAGATTGTCCTATCTTAGTTGGCAAACTTTTTCTAGTTGTCTAATCATGCTTTCTCAATTATAAAACCTTGCCGTATGTTTGTCCAAGATACATTTGAAAATCATCTAACTGGTTCAGTTTCCTCGACCTCAGCAGAAAAATGAGTCAGTCTATGACAGATTGTTTTTGAAAGTTACAACTTTGAATGTGTAAACTATGGGCTACTCACTTGACTCTCTTCTTGTTCTTTTAGCTCTCTATTACTACTTAGTAATTAGTATAACTGTTAATCCATCTATCATATAGTCTTGTGTCCAAGTTGACTTTTCATTCAAATAGATATGTAGTCAAAGTCTTTTTTCAAAATGATTGAATAGTTTGATAAAATTGTGAACCCTCTGCATGATTGCATCCTTTATTTAATATATTCTTTTCCCATCCTTTGTAAAATTTTTGAAATTCGATCCTGCATATTAACTTTGACAGAAGCCACTTTCACCTTAGAATGTCTGATCCGAAAACAAAGTTTGGATGGAGGGGCTAGCCGTTGGGTATTTTTGAGTATTTTTTGTATCACTGCATAGTCTTACTTCCATTTTATTGCTTACCAGTATATGAAGTTATAAACAGCTAAATATTGCAGAACTGTTAGGTATGCATTCAATTCCTAGTTTTCAAATTTTCACGAGAAACATATTTACTATTGTAGAACATTTTGATGATATTTATATCTTATCATTATGGGTTAATTCACATTGAAAATTATGGAAGCATTTTTTGAGAGCACTAGCTGAACTTGAAGTTATTTCCTGTTTTGACAGTTGAATGTCATTTTGCAAGTCTCTGGAGCGCCAAAATGTGGAGGCCTTCAGCAAAGGTGGCCAAAATGTGGAGCGCCAGAATGTCATTTTGCAAGTCTCTGCAAACCCAAAAACCATGCTCCCTTTCACAACATGCAGGTATCCAGTGGATAGTCAAGGGTATGCATAAACTGTCCCCAAAAATAAAGGAGGTTGATGATTTACGGGATTATTTGAATAAAATATTGGTTTCTGCTGGACTGTTGCATTGAGATGAGCTGTCTTTGCATATGAAAGTTGGGTTCTGATTATATGTAAACACACCCACTATACTATGTTAAAAGTTGGGTTTTCTATTTTTTCTTACAGAGTTAACGGATCCTGATAACTAACAGGCCTTTTTCAACTTTAATTATTTTTGTACCCATTCCCATAAGAAGAAAGAATAGGCTAGTTGGAGGGAAGTGAAAGAGAGAAAGTGGAGAGAAGGGACTTTTGCTTTAAAGGGAAGTGGGTGGAAAATGGTGGAGGGGTTAGAGGGAGGGGAGAGAGACAGTTATTGCCGTTCAGATTGAAGAGAAAGGGACTGTCTTCGTGAGGTAAGATGTAAGAAGAGATGATACAGTATTCTTGCTAATATCCAACTTTAAGATGAGGTGAGGGAATGTGAGTTTATGCTGGGCACCTGTGGATGCTACTTTCTGCCTCTTCTAGTATAGTACTTGTAATGTTTTAGCTTGAACTCTCATCCGCCTATGATCAGGGGCGGATCTATGTGGAGGAGAGGGGGTGTACGCCACTCGGATACTCGGGGTATAATTTAATGTATATACTGGTATTTCACGACAAAAAGCTATATAATTAAAGAGTGGCACCTGCAATAACAAAGTGACCGCAGGTGTCATGGTCAGATAGCCACTTTCCCACTAGGCCCAAGATTGAACTTCCTTGATGGCAAGGATTTTTGCTTTTCCTCTTGCCTACTTGTTCCCTTTTTTCATTTGTTAACCTTTTCCCTACTTGTTCATCTTTGTCTTTCCTCTTATTGTACAACCCCATTTTTATTTTTTATTTATATTAAATGTTTGCTTCCTTTTTCTTTTTCTAGATCTAAAATATTCTTTTATTTGAATACATTTTGATTTTTTTTCTTGTGTTATCCATATAAGATTATTTTCCCTTTGATTTTGAATAAATGACCAAAACTTTTAGTTTGGTTTTCATATATTAATTTATGCACCAAAAATCTTGTAAAGCAAACCGAATTAATTCAAAACAGAATCGAAGAAAACATAGAGAATCAGCCAAACGTACACCCTAATTTTATCTCCTTGACTAGTGGTAGATTTTCGAAATATAGTGGCACCCGTAATCATCAAATCCTGGATCCGCCTCTGCCTATGATGTTTAACTTACTTTATGCTTTAGCTATTGTCTTCAATATTTGAACTTCACAATACATTTCTAAGTTTGGCCGCTAATGGTTATGAGTGATCATCTCGTGGTACTTTAGCTTTGGAAGATTTCCCAAAGCTTCCAAAATAAAATGGTAGATTGAGTAATCAGAATATTCTTCATGTTCTAAATATTTCTTGCAAAGTCCTTTGAAATGAATGGGATAACTGATTAAGCAAGTAAAAGGAACCCTTCTTGTGGATGAAGAAGTGCGTGCTTTGACACGCTAGCTATTAAACCTAATGCTATTGATAGAGGTAGATTTAATGTACAATTAAGGCCCCTTTCCCTCCTCCTACATCCAAACCCTCTTTTATGGAACATCGAGTTTACTTATTTGTATTGATTTCTTAACACTGTTCATCACAAAGATATTGTTGTTCTTGCAGGGAGAATGCTTTTCAGTTGGAAGAAGAGTAGAGAAGCCCCTTCTGTTTATCTCTGGCAGTATCTGACATTTTTCCTTTTTTAGCAAAACAATTGTGAATGTGGTTGGAAACTAATCTGTTAATGTAAGTGCTATTTTGCTATCTAATCGAGACGTGTAAAAAACCACCAGATGAAATATGGTACTATTAACTTCTAAGTTTTTGAATCTTCACCTATGTATTTAGTGGAGCAGTCTTTTGTCTGCTGGAAACTTCTGGATAACATATGACCAATATTTGCCTGCTGGGTTTTAGCGTTAATATTGGGATTTTCTTTTGGGTTTTGAAGTTGGGTGTGGTGGTTGTGTGGAAGGGTCGTTTACATTTGCAGATTTCCCTAACAGCCCCAAAAGGGAGTTGGATTGAAAGATAATGCTTATAATTTTGGTGGCAAAATTATATTTAAGACAGGTACCACTTATCGATGGTAGGTCAAGAAGACCAAGATTTGATCGTTTTTGGTCGTTTTGACTGTTAACTTACATGCTGTCCTTCAATTGTTTCCTAGATTTGCAGGAGAGATTCATGCAGAAACATTGTCCATATTCCACTTGATTGTTGGGAGAGTTGGTCAAGGTCCCAGCTTCCTAGCTTTGATTATGTTCTCTAAGCCTATCACCGAGTCAATTTGAGTTGAGCAAATAGAGGTTTCGGGGATAGTTATTTTCTTTTAAAATATAATTATCCAAATAAGTCTCTTGATATTTTGGTTAGTTATTATGGGTAAAATTTACTCGCACGGGGGTGTTTATAGCAAATTTAATAAGTTAACCAAATAAGTTATCATGTTATCATGTGTTCATTTGCTCAGTTGGGGTAGACTTTAGCTTGAGCGTCTAAATGGAATATGCTCACTAAGTCTAAAGGATGTCGATGTATGCTGCCAAAAATCAATATTCAGTTTCCTAGAAACTACCGAGGCTGTCTCCTATCATTAGGTGTCTGGATGAGAACTCATAAAATTAAGGAGCTGAGAATAAAATTCTTTCCAAGTATTGGTGCCTATGATAAAAATTTCATGGGGGTAATCAGTTTCCATCTTATTAGTTAAGCATATAAAGTATTTAATATGCAGTTAGTGTAGACAAATTTTAGAAAAATGTCTGCTCCTCCTTCGTGAGTCTAAAGTTGATTTAGAATTAGTTAAACCTAAAAATTATAAACTTTGATTATTCTTTAAATAGGAACCCAAGGGGCCAACTGCGAACTTGCCCCGACTTCTGCTATTAGATTTTAGCTATTAGCATTTAGTTACTCTTTTGACAGGCAAAATTTTCTGGACAAAAATATTCCTCAGTTAAAATACGAAAAACTCCAAAAACGGTTACTAAACTTTGAACATTTATAAGTTCAAACTCTAGAAATTGTTCCTAGATTTTGAACTTTTAAGAATGAAACTCCAATTAATGGAGTTTGAAGATTTACTAGATCAAACCTCACGAATTATTCTTGTAGTTGAAAAATTCCCTATAGGTGAATTGTTCTTGGAGTTGAAAACTTCCTTATAGGTGTAACTCTAGTACAATATAGGAGTACTAGATTTGAGAATTACGTTACACCTAAGTTTCAATGATGATAATAGTACAAATCTAACTGTATCTATTTAATTGCAGGAAATTAGGAGGGCAGTATTAATCAAAGGAAGTCAATATGTTAAAGAGATCAGAAAGGAAACAAGATCAAATGTAGCAAGGACAATGCTAAATCAAAGGATGTCAAGGCCATAAAAAAGGAAACAAGATCAAGTGCAGTCGCTATAGGAAGTCGGTCCCTACTTCAAGGATTGATTTGAAATCTGGAGATTCTAAAGATTGATCGATCAAGTCAAGCCACAAATCACTCCCTTGATTATGAATACGAAAATGAAGGACGTAAATGAATCCAGCCCATCTCTTGAGCACGATTCAGAGGCACCCCTTGGGTCAAAACTCTTAGAATATTTTGTGCCTCAATCAAAGGTCAATCTGCAACGGCTACTCAAACTCTCGTATAAGAAGACTGGCAGACTCAACAATTCAACGATGCAACTTACCACAATTTTCTATGTCTACCTAGTTATTGGCACAAACATTGTATTCCTAAGTTTACTAGTGTCTCAAAAGATAGGAAGTGTTAGGAAGCAAAACAAGAGTTGGGTCAAGTTTATAAAACATTGTTGCTGAATATCGTTGGTGGTAAATGATCCATAAAACCACTGCTACTGTAATCAACTATTGAAGATATAAGAGAACTCTTGTGACCCAAGAGAACTGGATGTAGGCACTATACCGGTACTGAACCAGTATAAAACTCCTTTGTTCTCAGCTTTTAAATTCCTTGCAATTTATTTACATCGTCAATCAAACTTGCCGATAAAGCGAAGTCGACTAAGTCTCTTCTAAGTCGACTAAGTTTTTGAATTAGTTACAACTCATTCCTCCTCTTGTACTTTCAATTGGTATCAGAGCAAGGCTCACGAACATTTCTTAACCACAAGTTAGGGAAAGATCATGGGATCAAATATAGTCATTGGAGCACTATTTCAAGAAGGAACTGCCAGATCATCTTTTAATGATGCAAATAAGATACATGTGCAGGAAATCAAGTTCAAGAAGTAAAGAAGACTGCTCGAATGGTTCATGATGTACAAGGGAAGAAATCAATCAGCATGTGATCAGCAAATCTGGATTGGTCTCGTAAATCTGGGCGCAATCAAATCAACGAATCAATCAGCAATAACAATGATTAGCTGAGCTGGAAAAAATCAAATAAGCCTTGGACAAAGGCACGAATCATGGGCAGAATCACGGAAGACTAAAGGATACGAGGAGATCTGGGAAGCGACCACATTTGGAAGATCCAACAATCAAGGAGAAATCAAGTGAAGCAATCCTCTGCTAAAGGAAAGCAATCAAGAGAAGCAACGACTCATTCCTTATTCTTGGAAAGAATCAAGTCTTTCCAAGGATCAAATCTCTTGGGTTGTCAAGCCTCTACCATCCATCAAAGTATTTATACACCCTTGTAAACCCTAGCTTAGACATACTTTGATCTAACCAAATCACTCTCTTTATTCTATTGCAAACAAGCATTGTAGTTCACTAAGATCTGCTGTGTAACAAGTCAGGGATAGAAAGAGAGCACACAACTGGTGAGGCATTGTATCAAAAATGAGTGCTAGAGAAACTGAGCGATATACACCACATCCGTACTCGGAAGAAACTCATTTACTGAAGAGAACTCCCTTGCAACCCAAGGGGACTGGATTAGGATTCATATTGAATCCGAACCAGTATAAAAATACCGGTATTTTTAATTCCTGCAATTATTCTCTGCATTTTACTTTCGGTTACCATATCTGCTAAATTATCATATTTAGCCGACTACTCAAGTTTTAAGTCAACTTATAAGTAATTAATTTGAAGTATTTACAATTCACCCCCCTCTTGTACTTTCAATTGGTATCAAAGCTTGGCTTATATTTTACCTTTTGCTTAACAGCTTGTGAGAAAAGATCATGGCAAATCAAGTTATCATAGAGCTCTTTCAGGAAGGAACTTCACAAGTTAGACCACCATACTTCAATGGACAACATTTCTCTCACTGGAAAGTATGAATGGAAATCTTTGCTAAAGCATACGATGTCAAAGCCTGGAGAGTCATTAAAAAGGGAAACTATCCCCTACCTGCTAGCACTCCACCACTTGCTGATCCTGATGATATAGATTCATACTCAAAGGAGCAATTGGAAGCGGTACAAGTGAATAACAAGGCAGGAAATCTGCTTCACAATGCTATAAGTGGTGAGGAATACAAGAAAATATCGAGTTGTGATACAACCAAAGAGATGTGGGATAAGCTTGAGGTCACCTATGAGGGAACCAGCAAAGTAAAGGAAACTCACATCAACATGCTAGTTCATGACAACGAACTCTTCTCAATGAAAGAAGGAGAATCCATTGAAGAAATATTTGCCAGGTTTAGTAAGATAATTAGTGACTTAAAGGCATTTGGCAAGCGCTACACCAGTGGTGATCAAGTCAGAAAAATTCTCAGAAGTCTGCCAACCACTTGGCAGACCAAAGTAGTCACTCTGGAATCTCAAGACCTAAACAAATTTTCCTATGATGAACTGCGAGGAGAACTCATTGCTTTCGAAAGGCCGCATTTGAAAAAGACAAATCAAGAGGAGAAAAAGAAAATAGTTGCATTCAACACCTCTACTGAAATGGCTGAAAATGAAATTGATGATCCTAAAGCTCTACAAGAAGATATTGCTATGATGTCAAGAAATATGGATGGGTTGATGAGGAGATACAGAAACACAAAGAAAGGAAGATTCCCACCAAGACGATCCAGTCAATACAATGAACAGGATAAAAACGATGAAAAATGCTACGAATATGGAAAATTTGGGCACATTCAAGCTGAATGCCCAGAACTGAAAAGGAAGATCTCTAGAGGCTTCAACAAGAACAAATCCTTCGGAAGCTGGAGCGATGAGGACGACTCAGACCACGAAGAAATAGAAAATCTTTGTTTCATGATAATTCTAGAAAATGAAATAAACAAAACCTCAGGAGCTGGACAGATGAAGATAATTCAGATGACGAGAACTGTTTCATGGCACAGGGTGAAACTAGTGAGGTAAGATCTTATGACTGCGAAAGATGTAATGAATTGCAGGATATTCTTGATTCAACCTTAAAAGAGTCTCAAAAAATGATGAATGAACTTAAGAGACTCACTAGGGAGGTTAAAGACTGGAAACTCAAACATGAAGTATGTGAAATCGAAAAAGAGGTACTTCAAGAAGAGTTTGAGGAGTTGCAAATGTAGCTTAACAGCTTACGCAAATCCACCAGTCATAGTTCTGTTAAGCCAAACCAGACGACTTATAAGTCAACTGGAAAGGAACCAATCAGAACCAAGTCGACCAGTCGGTCGGACCAGATGACTTACAAGTCAACTGGGAAAGAACCAGCTAAATCCAAGTCGGCTAGTTCTAACACTTATGAAAGACCTATAAACAGGTCTGGAGCTAAATGTCATTATTGTAATAAAAGTGGGCATAAATATTCCGGTTGTCACTTTCATAAATCAAATGTGTCAGGATGGGTTTGGAAACCAAAAAATTCTAAACCTAGTAACGCTAACCCACCAGGACCCAGGCAAGCTTGGGTACCTAAAAGAAAGTGATCATCTTGTCTTGCAGGAACACCACAGAGTAAGCCGCAAAGGAAA